TTGCCAGGCAGTTTAGAGCCTCTGCCCTGAGCAAGTGCCGTTCCCATCACCTGGAATGCTCTTCCTCACCTTGTTTCCTAGTCAGCTTGTCTCCGGAGCAGTTTCTGTCATTTCCGTTGTGCAACCTTTTTGGACCGCTCCAAATAATTTCCGTTTGCTATTTAACATTCGTGGAGCACTTAACTGTGTGCTAGGAGTTGCGCCAACCCTGTACGTGCATCACCGCACTTACTCCTCACAGTCCTGGGAGGTGGGGACTAGTGCCCTTGAGAATATCACACAGATCCAAGTGCTGGGTTCAAGGTCACCTAGCCTAAGCTCTTCACTACCCAGTGGTAACTGTCTTCTCTGGGCTTCCGTTCTCCCTTGCAGAGAGCACTCTGACTTGTCATTGTAGCTTTGTGTGCATGCTTCTCCCCTCAGATCTATCCTCTGGGACAGAGCAGCCAGACAGTAAGTAAATGGAATGAAGAAGCCCCTGGGCCTGTGGTCATCTTCTATATGCTTTATAAACTTATTGCATGATCCTTTCATTTCTTTGTGGGAGGTGTTTCTTGAAACTTTGCTTATGGCCACCCGCATGGGTCTTTTAGGCTATTCATGGGACTTCGATGCCACAAATAGTTTTCAGTTGCTTATAGCAGCACTGTAGTTAATAATATGGACACTATGAAAGAGAGAGAAGACACGGCCCCTGCTCTTCATTTGCAGAGATGAGATTTGCCACATGGGACACAATTAGTGATTAAAGACAATACATTTGAATATTTGATTGCATAACATGCAAATTCTTTGGCATGACCTTCTTTGGCAAGGCCTTTGGTGATCTGATGCGAGACCACTTTTCCAACTTTGTCTACTATTCTCCCACAGACCCCAATCATGCTGATGTGTTTTGCAGTGCTCTGAGCCCACCATACTTTCGATGCTTCTGTTCCCATGTACATATTGTTCCTTTTGCCTAGAATGCCTTCTCCTTCCCATCTGCATAGCAACCTCCGCTCATCTTTTATAACCATCTTCAGTGCTGCTTCCATTAGATCTTTTTCTTTGGGTTTTCATGGCCTGTGTATATTTTTCTGTAGTGTGACCCTTATCCTATAGTCTATGAGTCAATTTTCTAAGTCCGACCTGCCTGTTAAACGTTGAGCTAGTTGAGGGCAAGGCCCATGTCTCAGTGATGGAAAAATGAATGACCAAATCATAAAAAGTGTTTACATAGAAAGGAGGGTGGGATGGTGTTCCAACATGGCTGGCTGTCAGTCAGGAATCACACTTGACTGCAAGGGTAGAGATCTGAATAAAGTGGTTCATTCTGCCCTGTGAAACCAGTTTAGAGGTCGGTGGCCGATTGTTGGTGTAGGGGTGTCGCTGTGTCATCAGGAGCCCAGGCTCCGGCACTCTGCTCAGCCCCCTTTAATGTGTGGCTTCCCTCTGCAAGGTAACCTCATGGTTGCTTGAGCTACAGAGAGGAGGAAAGAGAAGGGCTGTGAGGAAAGAGCAAGTCCATGAAGGTAGCTTCCTGTAAAAACATGTCTCAGGGTCCTACCCAGAAGCTCTGCTTTCATTTCAGAGGCCAGAATTTAGTCACATGGGTACGTCTAGCTGAATTTTGAAGAGATAAATATATGGCAATAAATACAGGTAAGTAGAAATTATAAATATAATATTTATGTTGATTATATTATCATACTTAAATATCATGTAAATAAAGTAAGTGTATGGTAATAGCAAATTTTAAATGACATTTTTCTTTTAAAAAAACAGCTTTTAGGTGCAAATGGACTCTTCTATAAAAAAGATATAAATTGGTCAATAAACTCACAAAAAGATGCTCACCATCATTAGGCATTAGGAAAATGCTAATCAGAATCACAATGAGATGCCACTTCACACCCTCTAGAATGGCTCTAGAATCAAAAAGACATAGTAACAAGTGTTCACAAGGACCTGGATTAATTACAATCCTCCTACATTGCTGGTGGGACTGTAAAGTGGTGTAGCCACTTTGGAAACCAGTGATGGTCTAAAATGTTAAACATTGAGTTGCCATATGACCTGGCAATTTCACTTCTAGATGTACACCCAGGAGAGTGAAGACATCCATCCACGCAAAAACTTGTACACGAGTGTTCATAGTATTACTATTCATGATAGCCCAAAGTAGAAGCAACCAAAATGCCCGTCAAATAATGAGTGGATCAACAAATTGTGGTCTATCCATATAATGGGATATTATTCTGCCATAAAAATGAATGACGTACTGACACATTCTGTGACATGGATGAACCTTGAAAACATGCTGACTGAAAGAAGACAGTCACAAAAGACAACATAGTGTATGACTCCATTTATGTGGAATGCCAAGAACAGGCAAATCTATAGACAGAAACTAGATTAGTGGTTGCCTAGGAGTGAGGGGGAATGGGGAGCGATTGCTAATGAATGTCTCTTGGGGATGATGAAAATGTTCTAAAATTAGATAGTGGTGTTCATTGCACAACTTTGAATATACTAAAAACCACCGTACACTTTTAAAAGGGTGAATTATATGGCGTGTGAATTATACCTCAATAAAGTCGCTTTAAAAACCAGCTTTTATCTGTTTGTAAGACTTATCTTCAAAGTTAACTTCAAAAGAAATGAACTGGTAGGGAGGGTGGGGAGAAGTTCCCCAAACCAGTTAACATTTCAAGGACTGTATTTGTCTTCTCTTCATTTGAGTCTTAGCTTAAAAAAAAAAAAAAAAAAAAAAAAAAAAAAAAAATCTGCCTTGCTTGGTCAGGGTCAGATCCATCTGGCTGGTTGCCCAGATGATGGAGATTCTGAGTGGTTTCTTTGTTCTGCAGACTTCTCATTTAAAAAATGAACTATTTTTTTCTGAGTCTCCAAAGCTGAGGAATAGAGATGCCAGGGGGTCAGCAAATAGACATAGGAAGCCACTTCTCTGTAAACCAGGATGTCATAAGGGTTTGCTCTATGGAGCTCTTGTTCCTTGGGGATTTTGTTGCTGATAGATGGGCAGAGGCAGCTCGAAGGCCGTGGGGAAATCACAGTGTGCTTGGACAGCTTCTGTGCCAAGACTTTGCATATAGGCAACTCCTGCCTGATTAGGAGCTCTGTCTCCCTAAGCCTCTGATTCCTCATCAGTGAATTGGGAAAGTGAATAATCTCACCCCAGGGTGGTCGCACCAGATCGTGGCCCTGAGCGTGCTCTGGTATATGCCGGTTGTATACCCCACGGGTGACTTTGGGGTGGCTCCAGGGGGCATGGTTTGAGAAATGAAAGAGGGAAGATTGGCAGGAGAAGAGGCACCTTGGACATCGTGAGGGAGTGGTTGTCAGGATGGAAGGTAGAAGTGATGATTGGAAGGCTGTGGTGACAAGGATTGCCAGAAGGCACTGGCCAGCAGTCCTTCCTCAGCCGGTGTTACTGGTGTGCTGGTTGGGGGCCACTGAAGTCAGACCACAGGGCAGCTGGCCTGCATGGCATGGAAAATGCTGGCAAAGGTGGTGGGGGAGGACCCTACCCCGTCTGCTCTAAGCTTCCCTTAGGTCAGCTTTTGTGACATGTTCTGGATTCTTCAGCATCTTTTGCAGAGGCTCATATTCTCACAAAGCCCCTCTGGAATTAAAAAGAAATAAATCATCCTTTTTGTGTAGCGCAAGATTAAGAAGTGGACTTTACATTTTTTGTCAATGTATTTTAGACTGATATGCTACTAAAGAATGTCCTTATGGGGTTCATTTTGATTAGATAAATGAAACTTTCAGATCTGATTACAAAACCCTCAAAGTCTATCTGTGGATTTTCCCAGCTATTTTTGTGTTTATCAAACTGTTCTTCACACTCCCTCTCTTCAATTGGTGTTCTATTTTTTTAAGTTGATTTTTTTTTTCTTAGTAATCTCTATACTCAATGAGCTTGAACTCGTGACCTCAAGATCAAGAGTCACATGCTCTTCTGACTGAGCCAGCCAGGCACTCCAACCAGTGGTCTATTTTTGATATATATTGAGAAAATACGAATAAAACACAATTTAGAAGTAAGGGTAACAACCACCATAGCACCTAATGGTGTTCAGATGACCCAGACACAAATATGCTTCTTTGCTACCCCACACATGTCTACTTGATGAGCATGCAGAGCCCTCAAGAAATTCTATTAAAGTGGGGAAATATTTATTATAGTTCATTGATTTTAAGATAGGCATTTCCCCCATTTTAACATCTCTTAAATTGTGATATGTCTTATAGTCAGTGGCATCTTACATTGATTTTTTTTTCTTTCTTGTACAATGGTGCATCTTACAATCAATTGCTTAAAACCTTGCTTTGATGAAATGTGGCCAATATTAGTCATTGAATTGAGAAAATGTATTCTCTGTCTGCCCTTGGATGTACATGTTGAATAATTGCATGCCCACCCTTGCATCACCACCAGGAACTTCCACATCACCCCCTCCACACAGCCAATAAAGCATCTTTTTGTTCTTTGCAGATTTTTATTACTAAATTACAAGAAGATCTCTCGCTGTCAGGTCTCTAACTATAAAAGGTACGGTGGAACCTTTCGCCCTTCCCCATCCTTTCCACTCCTCCAGCCCCGCAGGGTCCCTCCCAAGAGGTACTTGGTTTGTATGACTGTCCCTGGAACCATTTCTGGAATCTGGTCATCCCCAAAGGCCCTTCCCAAAGCGACTCATCAATGTGGGTTTATCTGTTGCTGTCTCTGGGAAGAAAAGGGAAGAGGGGCATCCCTTTGCCCTACTGTGTGAGGAGTGACCAGTTACTTCCTTATCCTCCCTGGATAGGACCACTGGCTCAATGACCTGTAAAGGCCATTTCAGCACTTCCATTCTGTTTGTCTCCAAGGCTTCACCTTAGGTAAGAACTTTTCGCTCTCATTCACCTCTCAGGGGGCTCTGACTTTTTACAGCTGAAGGTCCATCTTATCTGAGATGGACAGTATTACCTAGCAGCATGCATACTCTAGCAACATGAACGACATCAAGAGCAACAGAGAACTGTATCAGCAATACACAGCCTTGGCCCCCAGGCTGCTGGCCCGCATCTCCAAACTGCTCATCATTTGCCGAAATGCAGGCATTTCTGTACCTAAGGGCATCAGGAACATCTTTGAGTTCACTTGGGAGGAACTCACTGCCGACCCCATGGTACCTACTGCGTCTGACATCCTGGGCCTGGAGATCAGCATTGGATCCCCACCTGTGGTGCTTATGGAATCAACCTCCATGCAGGCCCCTGTCCAGAAGAAGGCACCCCCACCAGTACTACCACCTCCGTCACTGCCCACACCCCCTGGGCCCGCCAGCTTCACCCGCTCTCCCACCCATGGCCATCTGGTGCACTCTAGCCGGGAAATCCTGCAGAAATTCCAGCGGCGGTCCATCCACCTGCTGACAGAGCTGCTCACCCTGAAGATGAAGGCCATGGTGGAGTCTGTATCTGGTAAGGCTGGCTCACCAGATTCTTCTCCATTTTTTCTGAGCCCAGAAGGATCTACCCAGACCGATGTGTGTGTGTCCACCACAGCCACCATAGCCCCCCCAGCCAGGTGTATAAGAATATGCTAGGGATAGGTGGCAGCCATGGGTCTGCCATAGGAATCGAACCCTGTCCCACAACCCCCCTCAAGAGTCATCCTCTCCCCCCAAACTGTTCTTTACTTTTTTCTCCCATTCCCCCAGTATTGCTGAGCTCAGACTGGAAGGTAGGCTATGGAGAACAGTGTGAGGCCAGAGGCACTGAAGGGTGGAGTTTGTAGAAATGAAGGGTGGAGAGAGGCAGCACCCAGGAAGAGGGGATGAATTGAGAGGGCTGATTGGTGTTTAGCAAGACCATCCATGGTAAGGGTGTAACCCCAAGATCAAGGAGGGAAGATAGAGCCATATCAGTAATTGAGCCTTCTAGATGCTTCTAGAACTTTCTAGATGTTATTTTAAATACTAATGGCACCAGGACCCTGGCCTGTGGGTAGGAAGAGAGAAGGGTAAGGGGGGTAGAGAGCAAAATGCCACCTGACAGGTCTTGGGAAATCGAGACCCTTCCATTAAGGAGACCCTTCTATTAAAAGACCCTCACTTGCTTACCCTAGGAATAGAGCTTCCCTCTACCCTTATTTCCTGGGCCATTTACAGAAGTCTTTTCCTGGAAGCATTAGCCCTGTGCTAATGGAAAATGAGGAAAATGAGTTGCTTCAATGATTCCTTTAGTAGGTGCCAATCCTCTGGACATCACAAGACGCTTCGTGGAGGCCAGCCTGCTCCTCCACGTCAATGCCAAGGAGATGGCTCTTGACTACCTGATCAGCACAATTGGAAAAAGTAGCTATGGTGCCGGACAGACAGGGAAAGGTGGGTACCCAAGCTTCGGCCCTTAGAAGTTCGAATAGTGCTACTAAGAATGCAATAGAAAGGTCAAATCCCCAGTTTAAACATTTGACATCTGCAAGAGTTGAGGTGGATTCTCAAACAGAGAGATTCTGGAGCAACAGAGATTCTTAAATGCTGCAGGTGAGTATAGAAATCGGTGCAGTTCCCATGGAGAGCAGTTTGATGGTATCTGCAAGGTGGTCGATGCTCTAGCATGTGACAACTCGGCAACTTCTCTTCTAGGTCATTCCCTAGGGCTGTGCTTTTCAAACTGTCTGTGGTAAAGGACCAACTTGTAAAATTGCCAATCTCTATCTCTCGTGGACTGACATTTTCAAAAATGTGATGTGACAGCAATGTAAAATTGACACAGAGGTTTCTAAATGTTTACTCTTAATTTTTGTGCTCATCTGGCCATGGGCTGGTGTGGATTCTCATCAGTCCACTAGCCACACTTGGCTAGTCACACTTGGCACACGTGTGCAAGAAGTTGTACCAGAATGTTTATTGCAGTACTGTTTGGAATGGCAAAAGAAAATAAAATTGAAAACAACATAAGTGTCCATCAATAGGAGGAAAACAATTGATAGTCTATTTAAACAATGGAACGTAGTGAGAAGTAAAAATCAAGCACTTGTACAGCATAGGGACTGTAGTCAATAATACTATAGTGACAGATGTGTCAGATGTGACAGAGGCGACCACACTTACTGTGATGAGCAGTTTGTAATGTGCATAAATATTGAATCACAATATTGTACACCTGAAAGTAATATAATATTGTATGTCAACTATACTTCAATTAAAAAGAAAAAAATAATACAAAATGAAATAAGCATTAAAATGCACATATCAGTACAGATAAAATCTCAAAACACAGTGTTAAGCAAATAAAAGAAAGCAAGTTTGAGAAGGATACATTTGGTATGATACTATTTAAATAAAATTTGAAAGAATACAAGCAATATTGCTTTGGGTACAGTATAAAAGCGTGGAGGGGAATGCTGGATGCTAAGTTGGAGGAAGTGAGCACTAGAGAGGGGTGGAGGGGAATAGGATCTGGGAGACACAGTGAATCAGTTGTATCTAATGTATCTCTTAAGCATGGTGGATATACAAGTACAACTGACCCTTGTGCTGACCCCCCAAGCAGTAAAAAATCCAGATGTAACTTTTGAGTCCCTCAAAACTTAACTACTAATAGCCTAATATAGATCAAAATTCTTACCGTTAACATAAACAGTTAACACATACTTTGTCTGTTATATGTATTATATACTGTGTTCTTACAATAAAATAAGGTAGCGAAAAGAAAATTTGTTAACAAAATCCCAAGGAAGATGGGGCGCCTGGGTGGCTCAGTCAGTTAAGCATCCAACTTCAACTCAGATCATGATTTCACGGCTTGTGAGTTCGAGCCCTGTGTTGGGCTCTGTGCTGACAGCTCAGAGCCTGGAGCCTGCTTCGTTTTCTGTGTCTCCCTCTCCCTCTCTCTTTGCCTCTCCCCTGCTCACGCTCTCTCTCTCTCTGTGTGTCTCTCAAAAATAAACATTAAAAAAAATTTTTTTTAATCCTAAGGAAGAGAAAATATATTTACAGGACCGTACTATAGTTATTGAAAGAAATTCACATATAAATGGACCCTCACAGTTCAAACCCATGTTGTTCAAAGGTCACCTGTATTCATTTTGGATGCCTGAAAGTCATCCTGCCTGTTAGGTTTCATAGGGAAGCGTAAAAAAAATTTAAATCTCATAACCATTGACCCTCACCTGTAAAATCCATCCCTCCCTGTAAAATATCATCTCTCCCCGTCCACTGGATGTTTGTCCATCTTGGACAAACCTTTCCTTGGAGGTCAGAGCTTAAACATCTGATAGTATACATGTACAGTACAAATAAATTGCATAATAAAATTGCCAGCCTTGCAGGAAAAATGTGGGATTTCATGGAGTCAGTGGAAGCGATGTTGGAAAGCTGCTCAGTCCCCATGCGAAGCCACTGACGATGGCACAGTGAGGCAAAACCAATCAGCTACTGGAGACAGGAAAATCATCTGGGGCAGCGACTCCTTGCAGAAAGGATGATTTGGGGGTCAGTTAAAAATAAAAACTGATAAAGCCCTTGGGTATTTTTGCAAAGAAAAACAGGAAGGTACTCATGTTTTATTGCTATCCTACAACCATTCAGGAAAAAAGAAAATCACCCCACCTCAAAAAGTAAAAAAAAAAAAATGACACAGTCATTTTTATTGCTTATGAGAATTAGCGTGTGCTTACAAAATCAACAAACTTTCGTTAAATACAAGGTGAAAGAAAGTTATTTTGATAAATTTTGGGGTTTTTTTCTAAGCCTCAATATAAGTATGCTTTATTTTTTTCTTTTATTAAATTTTATGAAGTTTTTAATTTTAATTACAGTATATTTAACATACAGTGTTGTGTTAGTTTCAGGTGTACAATATAGTGAGTCAGCAATCCTATGCCTTGTTCAGAGCTCTTCACTTATTTCACCCCTCCCCCACCTACCTCCCCTCTGTAACCATCAGCATGTTCTCTGTACTTAAGAGTCTGTTTCTTTGTTTGTCTATCTCTCTTTTTTCCCTCTGCTTATTTGTCTTTTCATGTGTCTCTTGACCATCTGGTTGTCTTTGGAGAAATGTCTGGTCATGTTTTCTGCCCATTTTTTAATTGGATTATTTATTTTTTGGTTTTCAAGTTTGTTTTCATTTTCTAAAATAAAATTCCAATTGGACTCCCCCACCCCCACCTCCGCACTATTTACCATGACCTGGAGGTCTTTGTTTTAAGGGAATTTACTCTTTGCGCATGCTGCTCAGGATCAGCTATGCCATGAAAACACTGGCCCTCTAACTATGCTGTAACTATATACACAGATGGTTACCAGCATGCATGGAGTCCTGCACCTTGCATTCTGTGTGGAGCTTAGAGATCCATCTCATTTGTGGGGGACACTGCCTGCTGGTCTATTGCATGGGTAGGAAAGTCCCACCTGGCCCAGCGGCTCACCCTCAGACCTGCCCAAGATGCTCCCCTACCTGAATGCAGCGTTCCCTTACCTTGAAAAGGAAATGGTTGTCACCATTAGTATTCCACCCCATAAGGTGTTTGAGCATTCTTGCAGGGTCACAGACGTTCACCCGTGATTCGTGGCTTCCTGCCTCCCTTCTGGGTTGTGGTTAATATGGTGGAAGAGAATTTGCAGAGAACTGAGCTGAACTCTGGAGAGGCTTTGATGATTTCTGCATCCTGCTACATTAGCAAGAGTGTTCCACCACACTCCCTAAGAAATCTCTCACTTGCTGGCATGTCTGTTCCAGATGCTCCCCTTTAAACAAGCCTAGAGCTTGGGGGAAAAAAAAAAAAAACACCTAACCAACAAAATATAAATGAAGGACTGATCTGTTCTTTTTGGAAAAGCATTAATCCTAGAAGGACTTGAATTAGCTCTTACAGGGCATTAAAAAGAAGATCCAAATGCTGTTGACGTATTTTACATGACTTTTGCTTTTCTGGACCATCTTACTGCATGAGGTAGACCAAAGCTGTAACTGGGTCTGGAGTAGTCTTCCCTTAAAGCTACAGCCAGAATATACCCCTTGCTTAAGGAAGCATTTCCTTAGTGATAAGCCTACTTTCTGCCTTTTCTCCTTTCCAGTACATACTAGTCTGCCTTGTCATGAAAGAAAACTGGACTGCTCCTTGATTTTCAGTTGTTGGCAATATTACTAAGTAAAACATATACAAAAAAGGAAAGCAAATAATCTTGCCATCTTTATTTACATAATTCCTATTTTTCATTTTTGTAATCTCCTTTTTGGTTTCTCTCTCTCGCTCTCTCTCTCTCTCTCTATATATATATATACATATATATTAATACTACAATTTTCCTGCCTCTCAGTTTCCTTAACTGAGAGACAAATGTTTGCCAACATAGCTATATATTTTAATAATTGTCGCTTTAATTCATTGTAGACTTTTAATGTTCAGGTTCTATGATTAACCAAATGCTTAGGTTTTCAGTTTCCTACTATTAGTATAATATGCATCACAATATGCAACTTCAGTTTCTATTGGTTAAGATTGATTAAGAGGGATTATTGGGGCAGAAAGTTTCAATATGTGTACAGCTCTTACCAAATACTATTTTCTAGATGGATTTTGCCTATACCAGCATGGTTGACTGGTTTTATCCCATCTTTACCAGTATTGGCTGTTGTCAGTCCATTTCTGCTAACTTAGAAGGTACTGAAAGTTATCCTGATCTTAACTTTTGTATCACTAGTGAAGGTTATTATTTGCACGTGTGCAGTCTCTGGTTATAGTCTTTATCTATTTAGGTCAGGTCTGCCATTTTCTTTCAGAATTTGAATGAACCATGATAAGTTGCTTAACATTTCCTAACAATTTCATGCCTAACCAGCGAAATGACCATATTTGGGTAAAGAATGAGTCAATGATTTGATGAAGTTTATGTAAGTATGATCACGATTTTCCGCCAGTGATGGGGGTGCTAAATTTTAATTCTCAAGTGGTCGGATATCAAATGATTCTATGTGAAACAGTGTGATTCTGCAAGAGCCTGATTTGTTGTTGAAGAAGCATCTGATTTCAGTGTCCTGGATAGAGAATAATTGGCCCAATGTTTATTCCCTCCACCTAGCGCCGCACTTATACCTGCATTTGCCCTCACAATAATACCATCACCTTCTGTGCTTGCTGCTCCCGGCTCCCTGTGCTGGTGTCATTACTCTCTTGAGGGATACTATAGTGGGGTGAGGGGTACTGTCGGAAAGGAATCTTAAAGATTCCCCTTAATTACTCTGAGCCTGCTCATGCATTAAAAAGTCTTTTTCTTCCAAGATGTGGTTGTTTTGTAGCAATCAGGGCACTTTAGAATATCTACTCTACCATACTGTCAGAACAAAAAATGTAATACTAAATTTTTGGTTACAAGAAAAATTGAAAAGTTGAAAAAAGAGTTCCTCCATCTTCCACTCCAGATTCCTCTGTGAGTACTCCAACCATGGGTGTGAACTCACCTTACCAGCTTGTCTACAAGTCATCTACTGGCTGTCTGAGCTTTTCCCTCTCAACTGGAAGGGAAGTCAAGAAGAAAACAGGTAACAGAGGATTCCAGCAAAGAGCTCTTAGCCCATCTTTGGGGGAGGGGGTGGGGGAGGGCATAAAGGATTCCCAGTGCAGGTTAATGAGATGCTTTGATTTAGTTTTCTGATAGGAAGGGTACATGGCTGTCCTGCCTGTTGGCAGAAGCTTTGACACAGATTCTTTCCCATAAAAGTTGACACATCTCAACCCAGTCACTCCACAGTGCAGTCTCATCATTTGATTGTTTTTACGTGCCCTCTGTTCCTGGTGATGTGGTTCCCTTCACACAGTACAACATCCCTATCAAACCTACATCTTCCATCCCCCTCAGTATCCCAAACTCACCCCCTCTATCAAGAGAGAGATCTATGTTGCTCCTACTCACACAGCCAGCGGGGGAACGAGTATCTGAAGAGACGTACTTGGATACCAGACCTAACAGCATGTCCCAAACTGGGCTGATTCATGCAGAAAGAAGAGAAAGACATAGAGGGACCTGCTATCCCATGGAGGAGGACACACAACAGAAAGAAAGGCTTAAGACAAAGAATAGGTGGCAGTAGACCAGATAGTATAGCAGCAACTATGCAGCCAGAACCTCAGAGAAATAAGTTGGGAGTGGAAATGGCAAGGCAAAGTCTCATGGAATTTCCAGTTACCTTCTCCCCAACCAGCTGTGATGGCAGATGGTGGAATGGGGTAGGCAGGGAGGACTGTACTTGCAAAGTAGGTGGTGGAAGGATCAGCAAAAGGTAGGAATGCTCAAAGATTGTCCAGTTGTCCAGTGTCCCACAGACACTGGAGGTAAGGCTGGAAGTTGAGAAGTTTGCATTTTATTTCTGACCCTGCCTCTTGCTGACTATGTGATTTGCCTTCCTCCAGGCCTCATTCTCCATATCAAGCTCCTCCTGTGTCTTCAGTTAGTGAACAAATGTTTAGTGAATAATTGCTAGTTATCATTCACTGTTCTAAATCCTGGGGGTATACATGAGGACTCTAAGACAAAGAACACCTTCCCAAATGGAACTGACATCTTCAGCTTCCTTGTTTGGAGTAGATCCAGCTGCCCCCTCTCGTTTCCCAAGCTCCTTTACCTCTGTTGATGTGCTTTCTGTCACTGTGGTTCAATAACCCACAGCATCATTTCCAGCATCCCAATTTATGTGCTCCTGGTTTTATTATATCCACTCCTGAGCTGGCCCTAAATCAACAGAATCCCTTTGAGAGAAGACAAAGTATCTTCAAGATAAACTGTGATTTCATGATTTTTCCTCCTAATGATCTTGTAGGTGATACCTTCTGTTGGCCTCTTTGTCTGTCCAGCTGTTTTCCTCTGCTACCCCACCAAAATGTGATTTGTCATGATGTGCATCATTCTGACTAGATGTATTTTCGTGGTGTTGCATCTGTTATAGGTTCTTGATATGTTTAGAAATTAGTCTCATACATGCATGCCAGAATGGATGATTAACTTTCTCTAATAGTTTGTAAGTGACCGTGTAGACCTGTTTTGCCCAGGAATGTCCCAGTTTATGCTTATTGTTCTGACATAACATTTAATGATGCCCGCTTTCACTCTAAAAACTTTCCCAGTTTGTATATGTTGTACAGTTATTCTGGTTTTAGGCCACTTTGAATTTTGGACCTCTGCTCTCTGTTCATGCACATGTGCTATCACACCTTACCAACTGCCCCCTTTGCAGTTCTAGGACCAAGCAGACTTGGAGTAGACAGGCTTCAGGAGTTGAGTCTACTCCCTGAGGGAACAGCAGCTATTTTTGGAAAGTAGCCCAACTTTACAGAAGGAGAACTGAGAGAAGTCTGTCAAAAAATGGTTCCTGGTTGGAGTGAGAAGATATCACCCTCAAGGATCCAAGGCAACTAGGGCCAAGCCAGACATGAATGGTCAGACTAGAAGATGTTTCAGGAGGTCATCCAGCTGCTAGCTGGGACTCAGGGCCAAGTCTCTGGTCTTGGGTGGCAGGAGGAGTGGCAAAAGGGACCAGAAACCACTCATAATGGCAGATACCAGAGATGGTATCCAAGTACCAGCCAGAAAGCCTAAGAGTTGGCTGACAGTGAAGAAGACTTCATTTTGAGGCACTCAGGACCCAGCTGGAGCCTGAGCAGTGGCCCTGGCTTGAAACTCATTTTCATTCTTGAAACAAGGATGAAGTTGAGCCTACATATATTAAGAGAGAGCATGTGGCTCCAGTTGGGTGGGCAGCAGAGGCTCAGAAACATGTGGACCTGAAATGATGCCTCTGGAATTTTAGTCATGGAGGACTATCTCCACAAGTTCATGTCACCAAATCCTTATACCAGCTGACACCTGCCACAGGGTGATAACTGTGAAAATAACTGCAATAAGCACAAAACATTGCCACCCAGAGTTGAGCAGGCAGAAGAAAGAATAAGCAAATTTGAAGATAGAACAATTGAAATTATTAAATCTGAAGAACAGATTTTTAAAAAGTAAACAGAGCCTAAGGGACCTGTGGGACACCATCAAGGAGAATAACATACACATTGTGGAAGTCTCAGAAGGAGAAGAGGGAAAGGGATAGCAAGAATATTTGAGGAAATGAAAAGTCCCAAGTTTGATGAAAGACATGAGTATAAACACCAAAGAAGTTTGACAGACTCCAAGTAACATGAACTCAAAGATACCCACACCAAGATACATTATAATCAAACTTTCAGAAGACAATGACAGTGAATCTGGAAGGCAGCAAGAGAAAAGCAAATCATTATATGCAAGGAATTCTCAGTAAGATTATCAGCAGGTTTCTCATCAGAAACTTTGGGGGCCACAAGGTACCAAGGCTGTATATTCAGAGTGATAAAAGAAAAAAAAAAACTGTCAACCAAAAATCCTATATTCAGCTAAACTGTCCTTCAAAAGTGAGGGAGATATTAAAACATTCCCAGATTGGCAAAACCCAAGGAAGTTCATGACACTAGACCTACCCTTCAAGAAAAGCTCAAGGGCGTCCTGCAAGGTGAAATGAAAGGTCACTAGGCACCTTGAAGCTGTATGGAGAAATAAGGATATCAATAAAAGAAAATACATGGGCAATTATAAAAGCTAGTATTATTGTAATTGGTTCATAACTGTACTTTTTGTTTTTTACATGATTCATTTATTTATCTTAATTTTTTAAGTGTTTTCCTTTTATTTTTGAGAGAGACAGAGACAGAGAGACAGAGCACAAGTAGGGGAGGAGCAGAGAGAGAGGGAGACACAGAATCTGAAGCAGGCTCCAGGCTCTGAGGTGTCAGCACAGAACTCGACGCGGGGCTCGAAGTCACAGATTGTGAGATCATGACCTAATCCAAAGTCGGATGCTAAACCAACTGAGCCCCCCAGGTGCCTCTGTTTTTCAAAAGGATTTAAAAGACTTATACATTTAAAGAAAAAATTATTAGTTTAAAAGCTAGTATTACTGTAACTTTGGTTAACTACAAATTTTGTTTTCTACATAATTCAAAATACTAATACATTTAAAAAAATCGTTAGTTTATGTTTTGGTGCATATACTAAATAAAGATGTAATCTTGTTGGGGCACCTGGGTGTCAGTCAGTTAAGTGTCTGACCAGCTCAGGTCATGGTCTCGTGGTTCGAGCCCTGTGTTGGGCTCTGTGCTGACAGCTCAGAGCCTGGAGCCTGCTTCAGATTCTGTGTCTCCCTTTCTGTCTCTTCCACTACCCTGTTCACACTTCTCTTTTCTCACCCTTTCTCTCTCTTAAAAATAAATACACATTTAAAAAATTATAAAGATATAATCTTGTAACAACTGAAAGAGGTGGGAATGAATCTGTTAAAGGAGAGTTTTTGTAAGTTAAGCTGATAAAAATTCAAATTAGAGTGTTAGAACTTTGGGATGTTAAATGTAATCCCCACTGTTTCCCTCATTGTAACCACAAAGAAAATAGCTATACAATATACCAAAAAGCAAATGAGAAAGGAATTTAAATATCTTATCACACAATCTACACAAAACAGTATTGTAGGAAGCTGAGGGACCAAAGCCATAAGGCATTTAGTAAACCAAAAGTACAATGACAGAAATCCCTTGTCAGTAATTACTTTAAATATGAATGGATTAAACTCCCCAATCAAAAGACAGAGATTGGCAGAATGGATTAGAGCACATGATCCAATGATGTACTATCTATAAGAGATTCACTTGAGATCCAAGGACACAAACAGGTTGAAAGTAAAAGGATGGAGAAAAGATATTCTATGCAAATATTAACCAAAGAGAACGGGGGTAGCAATACTAGTATCAGACAAAATAGACTTTAAATCAAAAAAGATTATAAGAGGGGTGCCTGGGTGGCTCAGTCGGTTGACCATCCGACTCTTGATTTTGGCTCAGGTCATGATCTCACAATTGTTGAGATCAAGCCCCATGTCGAGCTCTGTGCTAGGCGTGGAGCCTGCTTGAGATTCTCTCTCTCCCTCTCCCCTTCCCCTGCTTGAGCATGCATGTTCGTGTTCTCTCTCTCTCTCTCTCTCTCTCTCTCTCTCTCTCTCAAAAGTTTATAAGAGAAAAAGGACACTGGTATTAATAAAAGTTTCAATACAACAAGAAGATATAATAATTATAAATGTTTATGCACCTAATGACAGACCATAAAAATATCTGATGCAAAAAAACATATATAGCTGAAGCAAAAACTGACAGAATAAAGACAGTTCTACAATAGTGGTTGAAAATTTCAATACCCTACTCACCATAATGGAAAAACAACCAGGCAAAAGATAAGTAAGGAAAGAGAGGAAATAAACCAATTAGAGCACAAACAACAAAACAATACACATTCTTTTCAAGTGCACATGGGAGATTTTTCAGGATAGGCCATATGTTAGGCCACAGATTTTAAGTCTCAATCAATTAAAAAGGATATACAAAGTATCTTTTCGGACCACTGTGGGATGAAGTTAGAAATCAATAACAGAAGGAAAACTAGAAAAAAACCACAAAATTGTGGAAAGTAAATAACACATTCTTTTTTTTTTTTTTTTTTTTTTTTAAATGATTTTTTTTTTTTAATTTTTTTTTTTTTTCAAGTTTATTTTATTTTGGGACAGAGAGACAAGAGCATGAATGGGAGGGGCAGAGAGGAGACACAGAATGGAAACAGGCTCCAGGCTCTGGGCCATCAGCCAGAACCCGATCACGGGGCTCGAACTCGTGAAGACCATTGACCTACCTGGCTGGAGTCGGACTCAACCCATTCACCATACCAAACCCCAATGTCACACATTCTTAAACAACCAACAGATTAAAGAAGAAATTGCAAGAGAAATTAGAAAACAGAGATGAATAAAAATTAGAATACAATATACCAAAACTTACAGGATGCAGCAGAAGTAGTACTAAGGGGGTAATTTGCAGTTTTAAGTGCTTACATTAAAAGATAAGAAAGACATCAAATAACCTAACTTCACAAGTTAAGGACCTAGAAAAAGAAGAAGAAACTAAAACCAAAGCTAGACAAGGTAAAAAATACAGATTAGAACAGAGAAAATGAACAATCATACACCAACAAATTAGATAACTTGCATGGAATGGATAGATTCCTAGAAACACAAAACCTACCAAGACTCAGGAAGAAGTAGAAAAATGTTGATAGATCTATAAATACTATGGAGATTAAATCAGTAATCAAAAACCTACCAACAAAGAAAAACCCTAGACCTGATGGCTTCAGTGGTGAATTCTACCAAACATTTAAAGAACTAATTACAATTATTCTTCATTCTCAAAGTTTAACAAAAAAATAAGAGGGAACACTTCTCAACTCCTTCTGTGAGGCCAGCATTACCCTGATACCAGAACCAGACTAGGACATTACAACAAAAGAAAACCACAGACAATGTCCTTTATGAACATTGATGCAAAAATCTTCCACAATATACTAGCAAACGGAATTCAATAGTACATTAGGGATTATACAACATGACACCAAGAAGGGTTTATTCCTGGAATGCAAACATGGTTCAATAACAAAACTCAATCGCAGAGTGAAGGGGAAAAAAACCACATGATCATCTCAGTGCAGAAAAAGCATTTGACAATTCAACACCCTTTCATGATTAAAAAACACTCAACAAACTAGGAATAGAAGTAAACTACCTTCACGTGGTAAAAGTCATATGTGAAAAACATAGAACAAGCATCATATTCAGTGATGAAAGATGGAAAGCTCTTCTTCTAAGATCAGAAACAAGGAAAAGGTACCCAAGTTCACCCCTTATATTCAACTTAGAACTGGAAGTTCTAGCCAAAGCAAGATTGAGAAGAAAAGGAATAAAAGATGTTCAAATTGGAAACATACAATTTGGAAACATATCCAAATATGTATGTTTCCATGTATCATGGAAACATACACATGATATATATGTATATATATATATATATATATATATATATATATATATCCATCCATGTTCCTAGCAACATTATTCTCAATAGCTAAAACATGGAAGCAACCCAAGTGTCCATCAATGGATGAGTGGATAAAATGTGGTCTATACATACACATCGGAATATTGCTCAGCCTTTAAAAGGGAGGAAATTCTGACACATGCTATAATGTGGAAGAAGCTTGAGGACATTATGCTAAGTGAAATAAGCTAATCACAAAAAGATAAGTACTATATGGCTCTACCTATATGAGGTATTTAGAATAGTTAGACTCAGACAAACAGAAAGTAAGGTGATGGTTACTAGAGGCTGGGGGGAGTAGAGAATGGGGAGTTGTTACTATTTAATGGGTAAGAGCTTTAATTTACAAAACGAGAAAGAGTTATAGAGGTAGATGATAGTGATTGTTGCACAGCAGTGTGAATGTATTTAATATCACTGAACTGTACATGTAAAAATGGTTAGGATGGTAAATTTTTGTTACATGTATTTTACCACAATATGTAAAAAAAAAAAAATGCAGTCTTAGTCTGTCAATACACACTGCCCTCTGCAGAAGGCCCAAGATTAGCCAGCGTCGGAGAAGTGTTGCAGCCAATTGAGATGGAACTGAGATTTTCTGTCTTTAATCAGAAGTGTCAAAAGGGAATCACTTCAGCATGCATGGCAGCCCCAGGCCCAGGCTGTCCTGGGGAAACATAGCTGGGTACGCCACTCTGCACGTACCTGTTCCTAATACATTCTTAGTTGACTCACAGAGCAGTGTCTCTGTGTTATAGTGACATGCCAGGGATTCCCATCCCCGGGAAGCATGAATGATGCCCCCCAATTATTTTAACTATCAGGAGAAGTTGCTATCCTCTGCCTGCCACCTCACCCCCATGTGAACATGACGTCTTAAGAAACCATCCTCTAGAACTCCTCTCTAACTTCTTCCTCTCCAGCCACAGGCAGATCAAAAAACTTCGAAGACATAACCATGTCACCCCTCCAACGAGGACTCGGAAACTCTGCCTCTAACAGTATGGAGTTCAGCGACCCCTGCCCTGAGGCCCGAGAGAAGCTGCAGGAGATGTGTCGCCTTATGTGAGCGCCTGGGTGGTTGGGGGCAGACGCAAACATTGGGTATGGCCGCCAGCTACCTGTGTGTGCATGACGGGGAATTCACGGAAGTGTCTGAGCAGGGCCAGGAAGTGCCAGCTGCCCAGTGCCCCCAACGACAGTGACCAGTGATGGGGTGATGGCCATCCCTCATATGCATTCATGTCCCTACGCTCTCACCACTCACAGTCCTTTTCAGCCCTCACTATAACCTGATGAGGAAGAAGGGGTATACCCATTTTGCGGATGAGGAAACCAGTAGCCAGAGCAAGCCAATAAGCTATTGCCGGAGGTCCCACAATTTGGTGGACCTGACACCAGGTCATTGATCTTAGCCTCTTCACCTTTTGCAGGGCTCCTTACACTTTTTAGGCTTTGTGCCTTGAATGTTTATTTCTTAACACAATTTGTCAGATGTTTTCCTACAACAGCAGCAGCAGCAGCAAAAATCCTCTCAGAGCAAACAAAAAACATTGACCTGGGTGATTAATGATATCTATGATTTGGGGTCCCACAAGTCCTAGTAAGTTAGTCTACATTTCTCCAAAGGCTCAGACCATGGGCCATAAAGGATTTAAAACCTAGCCCCATCTAAGGCATATGTCTTGGGCTCCCATGGGCCATCATTGCAGCTACAGAACATGGGAGGAGGGAAGCTACCCAGTTTGCCCTTTACTGTAACATTCTGGATGGAAGCTCTTTCTTTGTAACCTCAGGAGTGGGGAGTGAGCAGAGTCCCCAGACCCTGCCCTCCAGACTCCCCTTCTGTACTCAGTCCCACTCCATGGGTCCTCATCCCATTGCTTACAGTGGAAATCAGGCAAGGAATGGTTTCAGAGGGGTACCAGGGCCTTCCCAGTTCTTCCTAAGTACTGCCTTTAGGATGAGGGGGAGTGGGGTGGGCACAGGTACTTTGGGGACAGAGAAATGGGACGAGAGTCTTGGGAGCTGGGCAGGGGCTATAGAAAGAGTGTTCCTGGTGAGTAAAAGCCAAGTGGCTAGAAGATATGTTGGTCTCCTTCCCTGCAGAGAAGCTGAAAGGGCCTCGTGGAAAGGGAGGAATTTCTCCTACCCCATGATCTTTCGCAACTACAGGGCAAAGATGCCCTCTCATCTAATGTCAGCCCCGAAAGGGGACGCTCAGACCCCTCACCCTCCAGGTGCTCAGACTTCCACTCCCACCCCTCACCAGCCTCCTGCCCACCAACAGCCTCACTTCAGCCAACATTCTCAGGAGTCTAAGACATCCAAGAATGTCATCAAGTTGCATTACACCTTCTGTGATGGGTCCTCCTTCGTGTAGTATCCTTTTATTTGCTGCTGCCCCTTCTCCCCAACAACTCAGCCCCAGAAAATTTCTGGGTTTGAACAGGGCTGATTATTTACTTTGGCTTTTCACCTGACCAGAGAAGCCTGGTCACAGGTTCTTCAGGACATTAAGCATCTGTCCAGGTCAGAGAAGGCTCTCTTTGGAGGATGTCTGGGTGGGAAACAGTGCATCAAGAAGTCACCTTGGAGGGGCGCCTGGGTGGCTCCGTGAGTTGAGCATCTGGCTGTTGATTTTGATTCAGGTCATGATCTCATGTTTGTGAGATTGAGCCTTGTGTTGGGCTCTGCACTAACAGAGTGGAGCCTGCTTGGGATTCTCTATCTGCCTCTTTCTTTGTCTCTCAAAAATAAATGAATAAACTTAAAAAAGAAGAAGTCACCTTGCAGCCCCGGTCCTGTCATTCACTCCCCAGTAGGCAGTGGGGCTGGACCAGATGCCCAACTCATTTGGCAGCAAGGCTGTGAAGCCAGAGAGGGCAAAGCACTTATTCCAGGTTCTGCACTCTGAGTTGGATGATACGTCAAAGAGAGGAGACACTAAGCCAGACATTCTTGTCCCTTCTTTGTAGGAACAGATGGTGTGACTCAATTTAATGTCACAAAAGGAATTTGGTGGCAAAGCCAGGCCCGGGTTCAGGGCCACTTCACCTCCATTTAGGGCCCTCTTTCTGGCACCATTTTTATGCCTTCTAGGATTGTTTCCTCCAGCAGAGAGTAGGACATGGGGGATGGAAGGGAGCCTCATTTAATAATAAAACCTCTAGGTACTTAGTGGCCCATACCTTTGGAGGAGAGGGAGCTCTCTGAACTCTCAGGCTGCCCAGCAGCAGTCCCCCCTCACTTCATTTGGCCTCCTCTCCGACTGAACTGGGAATTCAGAATTTAAGCACCCTGTCAAAGGAGTCCTCTTGTTTCTCTGACTGTAAATGAATCCATTCATCACACTCTGCTCAGCCTTGCTTCCAGTGAGCCTTGTCATACTGTACATGGCAAACTCCTTCCAGGGTAGCTGCTGCTTGCTGTGGGTCAAGGGCTCTCCTTTCCCCCTTTCCTATTCTTCCACTGCCTTGAGTAGGATCGTCTTCCTGAGCCCCTGGAAAAGCTATGTCTGTGAATTCTGTTGCTATCAGCAGGACCAGAGTAGGTGGGCTAGAGCACAGTCTGTTCTCTTCCCTGTTCCAGAATGCTGAGGTCCCCCTGGGTGAGACCACCCCAAACCTGCAGGCCATGCTGCTGGCACACTTGACTCATATGCCAGAAACAACCACATCCTGGCCATCAACGCATTTCCTCTTTGGGAGTCCCAAGAGGCTAGGTTCTAGGCCCAGTTCTTCTTGGTGACCCTGCACAGGTCACTTCATCTCTCTGGGCCTCACTTCCCTTCATTTGAAGCTGAGGAAGTTGGACCCAGTGATCTTGATAGAGAAATTCTGTGTTACTGCGTTCAAATGGCCAAAGCACCCATGCAGCTGTTGGATCCCTTGGAAGTAGAGAAAATGTTTGGAAGACGTTTTCTGGGCTCAGCGATTAATTCTGGTCCCATGGAGATTGCTGGACAAAGCTCTCAGGTAGAAATGGTTCATCTGCCCTTGGTATGCCAAAGAGGTCCCAGCCCTGATTGGTTTGCTCTTTGTCAACACCAGACCCCAGAAACCATCCCAGTATTCTTTTCGTTTGGGTTTCATTCATTCCATTGTCAGCACCTCCTGGATGTCTTGGCTCAGCTGCCCATTCTCCCCTCAAACTTCCCTCAAAACCTTTTTTCATATGCACAGACAGATCATCACATTAGAAACAAACCCTAACCACAGTGCACAGTGCTGTGCTCAGCCCTGTGCCCTTAAGGGTTGGTGGAGCACTCAGAACCACTCTGTGTTTTTTTTAAATATGGTAAAATATACATAACATAAAATTTATCGTTTTAACCATTTTAAAGTGTATCACTCAACGGCATTAAGTACATTCACAATGCTGTGCAGTCATCACCACTATCTAGTTTCAGGGTGTTTTCATCACCCTGAAAGCAAATCCCATGTGTCTGTGAAGCAGTCACTCCCCATTTCCCCTCCCCTGTAGATCCTGGGGACCACTAATCTGCTTTTTGCCTCTATGCATTCGCCTGTTTCAGATATTTCATATAAATAGGATCATGCAATATGTGGCCTTTTGTATCTGGCTTCTTTCACTCACATTAATGTTTTCAAAGTTCATCCACATTTTAATATATATCACTGCCTCTTTTTTAATTGACATTTACATAGCATAAAATAAAATATTTTAATATATACAATTTAGTGGCATTTAGTGCATTTATAGCGTTGTGCTACCATCACCGCTATCAAGTTCCACAACCATTTCATCACCCCAAAAGAAAACCTTATACCCATTAAGCAGTTTTCTGTTACTTTCTGTTTTCCCCTACCCTAGCCCTGGCAACCACCAATCTGTTTTCTATTTCTTTTGATTTGCCTATTCTGGTCACCTCATGTAAATGGAATCCTACAACATGTGACCTTTTGTGTCTGGCCTCCTTCACTTAGCATAATGTTTTCAAGGTTCATACATATTGCAGCATGTCTCAGAATTTCTGTTATTTATATTATAACGTGTGTGTGTGTATAAAATTTTGTTATATGGATATTCCACTTTTTTCTAATTCATTCATTTGTTTATGGACATTAGACTTTCCCCACCATTTGGCTATGAACATTCTTATAGAAGTTTTTGCACACCTGTTTTCAATTCTTTTGGGTCTATAACTAGGAGTAGAATTCCTGGATTATACGGTAATTCTATGTTTAACTTACTGAGGAACCTCCAAAAAGTTTTCCACAGTGACTGTGCTATTTTATATCCCCACCCACATGTATGAGGGTTCCAGGTTCTCTACATTCTTGACTACACTTGATACATTTCAATTTTTAAATTCCAGCCATTCTAGTGGATGTAAAGTCATATCTCATTGTGGTTTTGAATAGAATTTTTCTAATAACTAACAATTTCAAGTATATTCATATACCTTCTTTGTGTATCTTCTTGTAAAAATGTGTATTCAAATCTTTTGCACAGTTTTTTATTGTCATTTACTTGCTGAGTTGTAAGTGTTCCTTTATATATTGTAGATACTAGATCCTTATCAGACATATGATTTGCAAATTTTTTTTCCTATACTGTGGGAAGTTTTTTCACTCTTGCTCACCCTCTTTGGTATGTGGAAGTTTTTAATTTTTATGAAGTCCAGTTTTTCTTTTTTTTTATTCCTTGTGCTTTGGGTTTCATATTTAAGAAACCATTCTCATGCCTGTGTTGTCTTCTAAGAGTTTCATACTTATAGCTCTTACATTTAGGTCTTTGATTCATTTTGAGTTGATTTTTGCATATGGTGCATATGGTGATAGAAGGCTCCAACTCCATTCTTTCACATGTGATTCCCAGTTCCACCTCTATTTCTTGAGTAAACTATTCTTTCACCATTGAATGTTCTTGGCACCCTTGCTGAAGATCGTTAACCATAGATGTATGAGTTTATTTTTGTAGTCTTAATTCTATTCCATTGATCTGTATGTCTTATTGTGCTCGTGCCACAGTGTTTTGATTATTGTAGCTTTATAGTAATGTGTTGAAATCAGGAAGTTTGAGTCCTTCAACTTTGTTCTTTTTTCAATATTTTTTTGGTTATGTGGGGTCCAGTGCAAGTCCATATGAATTTTAAAATAAGTTTTTCCATTTTTTGCAAAAAAGATTGATGAAATTTTGATATGGATTGAATTGAATCTGTGGTTTACTGTGGGGCATATTGCCATGAATAAGATGAAGTCTTCCAATTCATAAATACTAGCCACAAATGATATGAAATGCTGTATGAACAACTATAACAATAAAAAGGAAATGAACAGAAGGAAATGATGCCATTTACAATAGTGTCAAAAAGAGTATTTTGATAAGGATTGCACTGAATATGTGTATTGCTTTGGATAGTATTGATATTTTAACAATATTTGTTCTTCCAATCCATGTGCATGGAATGTCTTTCCATTTCTTTGTGTCTTTTTTAGTTTCTTTCATAAGCTTTCTATAGTTTTCACTATACAAATCTTTTACCTCTTTGATTAGGTTTATTCCTACGTATTTTATGGTTTTTGGTGCAGTTGTAAGTGGAATTGACTCCTTGATTACTCTTTCTGCTGCTCCATTATTGGTGTATAGAAATCAACCAACTCCTGTACATTTATTTTATATCCTGTGACTTTGCTGAATTCATGTATCAGTTCTAGCAGTTTTTTGTGGAGTCTTTTGGGTTTTCCATTTAGAGTATCTTGTCACTGCAAAGAGTAAAGGTTTGACTTCTTCTTTGCCAATTTGTATGCCTTTTATTTCTTTTTGTTGTCTAATTGCCGAGGCTAGGACTTCCAGTACCCTGTTGAATAACAGGGGTGAGAGTGGACCTCCCTGTCATGTTCCTGACCTTAGGGAGGAAGCTCTGTTTTTCCCCATTGAGAATGATATTAGCTGTGGGTCTGTCATATGTGTCCTTTATGATGTTGAGATTTGTTCCCTCTATCCCCACATTCTTGAGGGTTTTTACCAAGAAAGGATGCTATATTTTGTCACATGCTTTTTCTGCATCTATTGAGAGGATCATGTGGTACTTATCTTTTCTTTTATTAATGTGGTGTATCATGTTGACTGCTTTGTGAATATTGAACCAGCCCTGCAGCCTGGGAAAATACCACTTGATGATGGTGAATAATTCTTTTAATGTACTGTGAATTCAATTTGTTAGTATCTTGTTGAGGATTTTAATATCCAATTTCATCAGGGATATTGGCTTGTAATTCTACTTTTTAGTGGGGTCTTTGTCTGGATTTAGAATCAAGATAATGCTGTCTTCAGAGAATGAGTCTGGAAGCTTCCTTCCATTTCTATTTTTTAGAACACTTTTAGGAGAATAGGCATCAATCCTTCTTCAACTG